TTTTGGGATGCGGTAGGGGGAGGGGAGATTTTGAAGCTTGTAGAATACACCTCCTCCCACCCACCTTCCTGCAAAAATGCCATCCCCTGTTCCCAATTCCTTCGCCTCCGCCGCATCTGCTCCCAGGATGAGGCATTCCACTCCCGTACATCTCAGTTGTCCTCGTTTTTCAAGGACCGCAACTCCCCCCCCCCCAGTAGTCGAGAACGCCCTCAACCGTGTCTCCCACATTTCCCGCAACTCATCCCTCACACCCCGTCCCCGCAATAAGAACCAAAAAAGAATCCCCCTCGTCCTCACGTACCACCCCACCAACCTCCGGATCCAACGCATCATCCTCCGACACTTCCGCCATCTGCAATCCGACCCCACCACCAAAGACATCTTTCCCTCCCCACCCTTATCTGCATTCCGGAGGGACCACTCTCTCCGTGACTCCCTTGTCCGCTCCACACTCCCCTCCAGCCCCACCACACCCGGTACTTTTCCCTGCAACCGCAGGAAGTGCTACACCTGCCCCCATACCTCCTCCCTCACCCCCATCGCAGGCCCCAAGAAGACTTTCCACATCAAGCAGATGTTCACCTGCACATCTGCCAATGTGGTATACTGCATCCGCTGTACCCGTTGTGGCCTCCTCTACATCGGGGAAAGCAAGCGGAGGCTCGGGGACCGCTTTGCAGAATACCTACGCTCGGTTCGCAATAAACAACTGCACCTCCCAGTCGCGAACCATTTCAACTCCCCCTCCCATTCCTCAGATGACATGTCCATCCTGGGCCTCCTGCAGTGCCACAACGATGCCACCTGAAGGTTGCAGGAACGGCAACTCGTATTCCACTTGGGAACCCTGCAGCCCAATAGTATCAATGTGGATTTCACAAGCTTCAAAATCTCCCCTCCCCCTACTGCATCCCAAAACCAGTCCAGCTCGTCCCCGCCTCCCTAACCTGTTCTTCCTCCCACCTATCCCCTCCTCCCACCTCAAGCCGCACCCCCATCTCCTACCTACTAACCTCATCCCGCCCCCTTGACCTGTCCGCCCTCCCTGGACTGAGCTCTCCCCTCCCTAACTCCCCAACTACACTCACCTTTACTGGCTCCATCCCTGCATCTTCGACCTGTCTGTTTCCTCTCCACCTATCTTCTCCTCTATCCATCTTCTATCCGCCTCCCCCTCTCTCCCTATTTATTTCAGAACCCCCTTCCCCTCCCCCATTTCTGATGAAGGGTCTAGGCCCGAAACGTCAGCCTTTTTGCTCCTATGATGCTGCTTGGCCTGCTGTGTTCATCCAGCTCTGCACCTTGTTGTCTCGGATTCTCCAGCATCTGCAGTTTCTACTATCTCTGATTCTATAGGATTTTCCTTGCTTTCAGTAGTTTAAAGTGAGGCGTGTCCAGTGTAACCACCTTACATACAGTTGGCTATTCAGATAGTAAGTGCATCTGTAAAAATACTAAAAAAATTGGGAGGTAATGGGAATTTTTGAAGTAGCTTGACCGGACTTATTATAAGGACTCCACTCTTGATGAAGTGCAACTATTTTTCTCAATAATGGAAGTACCTCATACTGTTCAGAATTGTGAGCAATAGTGTTATGGTTAAATCCAAATGATTATATTTCATCCCACTCTGTAGATAAAGTCTTTAATCTCATTTTATCTGTTCATCTCCTCCCCAGAACCTCCAAAATCATAGTCCCCCAAACCCATACAGCCGACTTCTGCCTCCTTCCCAAAATCCACAGGACTGCTCCTGCTCCACAGAACTCATCTCTTCCTATTTTGACTCAATTCTTTTCTCCCCGTCCAGTCCCTTCCCACTTCTATCCACGATTCCTCTGATGCTTTTCTGGTTTCAGAATTTCCAGTTCAAAGGCTCCAGCCACATCCTCTTTACCATGGATGTACAATCCCTTTACACATCTAACCCCCCTCAGGATGGTCTCAGGGCTATCCGCTTCTTCATGGAAAAAAGGCCTGAACTGTCCCCAGCCACCACCAGCCTCCTCCGTGTGGCCAAACTCGTTTTCACGTTGAAGAACAACTTCTCTTTTAACTCCTCTCTTTTTCTTCATGTCAAAGGTATGACTATGAATCCCGCGTAGCCCCAGTTATACCTGTCTCTTTGTGGGGTACACAGAACATTCCTTGTTCTAGTCCAGCTCAGGGCCCCTCCCCACAAATCATTGATGATATCATCAGCATTGCTTCCCCCTCTCATTCAGAATTGCAAAAATTTATCAATTTCAGTTCCAACCTGTTCTCACCTTCATCCAGTCCATATCTGACTCCTCCCTTTCCTTCCTCAACATCTCTGTTTCTGGGGATAGGCTGACCACCAATATGTATGACAAACCCCACTGATTTCCATAGTTACCTGAACTATACATCCTTATACCTTGCTTCCTGTAAAGACTCCATTCCATTCTCGCAGTTTCTCTGTCTCAATTGCATCTGTTCCAATGCTGCCACTTTCCGCAGGGGGGCCTCAGAAATATCCAGCTTTTTTCTCAACTGAGGATCCCCCACTACCATGGTTGACAGGGCCCTTAGCCGAATCCGGCCCATCCCCTGCACTTCTGCCTCCACCCTTTCCCTTCCCTCCCACAACAGTGAAAAGGTCCCCCTGTCCTCAATTTCCACCCCACCAGCCTCTGCATCAAAAGGATTGTAAGCCATTATTTTCAGTCATCTCCAGCGAGATGCCACCACTAAACACATATTCCCCTCCCCTCCCTTGTCAGCCTTCCACAGGTACCATCCTCCCACTGGGACATGCTTGTTCACTCCTCTTTCACTCCCAATGCATCCCCACGGCACCTTCCCCTGCAACCGCAGAAGGTGTATCAATTGCCATTTACTTCCTCCCTCCTCACTATCCAAGGCCTCAGACAAACCTTCCAGTGATTTACCTGCACTTCACTCAATGTAGTCTATTGTATTCACTGCTCACAACATGGTCTTATCTACACTGAGGAGTCAAAACACGGACTGGGTGATCACTTTGCAGAACACCTATGTTCTGTCACAAATATGACCCTGAGCTTCCTGCTGCCTGCCATTTAAACACACCACCATGTTCTCTGGCCAACATCCTGTGTTTCAGGCCTGCTGCAGTGCTCCAGCAAAGCTCAGTGGAAGCTGAAAGAATAACACCTCATTTTCTGCTCAGGGACTGCAGCCTCCAGGACTCAATATCGAGTTGAATAATTTTACAGCCTGAGCACCTTCTTCCATGTCCTTTATCCACCCCCACACCCCAGGCCTTGTCATCACATGGGCTGCTTTCGACACAGCCATCCCATTTTCACCCACAAATGGTCCATATCGTCAGTTATTCTTTCTCCCCGTCTCACTATTATATCCAGCTCTTTTACATAACTACTGTGTTCTCTCTCTGGGCTCCATCTCCACCTTTCATTTACTCTCACTTCTCACCCCCTGTCTTCAGTATATGTTCCATATTTTCCTATCCACAGTCAGTTCTGAAGAAAGGTTGCTGGACCAAAAATGTTGACTGCTTTCTCTCCACAAATGCTACTACACCTGCTGAGCTTTTCCAGCAAAAAATGTTACCAGACTTTACCAGAGCAAATGTTACCAGAGCAGTGAGACTTTAACCCAAAATGTCACCTGTTTGTAGTGGAACAGAAGTGTGTGGAAACAAAAAGATGCAGGACATCACTGAGGCAGTATGAGATGAGACAGTTAATGAGTTTAAATTAGAACCTTGAAATTTACAATCAGGTTAGTGGGACATAGTGGGACTTTTTGATAGAATTGAAGTTGGACACTATAGGACAGCATTCAGAAAAACAAATCCTTTTTGGTGGACGAAGGAAATATTGCAATGGTAAAATAATGGTGTACCTCCTATCTGTACAGGTATTGGACAAAGATGTTTTTTATATAAGAGGATAAAACTCGATTCATTAAAAATAACTTGATGAAATTCTAAATCTATATCACAAGGCCTGCATAATGTATTACATAGAGGGTGATGTTCAAGTCAGAATGTTTCAAATGATATATCAAGCAGCTTCCATGAGTTCTATACAGATTAAAAAGTAATGGAAATCTCACTTCCAAGAAATGTCTTTGAAGTTATATATCTTCCATTTGTTTCATATATATATTAAATATACGTATTTTGTTCCTATGACATCCCACGAATCATCCCTCTCAGGAACTTTGATATGCCTTATCTCTGGTCTCTGCGCTCGCAACATGTCTTGACCATCTCTGTGCTTCTATCATCCCATCACTGCCCTCTCTTTCAGCCTCCAACATCCCACCTCTGCCTCCGACATCCCATCACTGCCCTCTCTCTGCCTCCAATGTGTCATCACTGCCCTCTCTCGCTGCTTCCAACATTCCATCACTGCCCTCTCTCTGCCTCCAACGTCCCATCACTGCCCTCTCTCTCTGCCTCCAACCATCCCATCACTGCCCTCTCTCTCTGCCTCCAACCATCCCATCACTGCCCTCTCTCGCTGCCTCCAACGTCCCATCACTGCCCTCTCTGTCTGCCTTCAACATTCCAGATCTGTCCCCTCTTTGTCTCCAAGATCCCATCTCTGTTGTCTCTCTCAGTATCTCACATCACTGTTGTTCCCAATCTGTTAAGGTATGCAGTGTTTCTGGAAGTGATAACAGGGATTTGAAATACTACCCAAGTAACTATAGCTATTGCCTGTTATTATAACCAGTACATGTACCCTGAAATTAGAATCTTGGTTTAAAATATTCATCAATTATTTTCTATAGAACATATTAGTGATAGTTGATATTTGCGTAGTTTTGAACACAATGACAGCCAGTGTGAATGCACAATAATAACAGGTGTACTAAAGAATTAATGATTTTGGCCTCATTACTGTAAATTATTGCATCAGCAAGTTATTTCTGCAGTATATGTTATTATTCTAAATTATTTTTGAGAAACTACTCTGCTAGCTTTTGAATGACATTTTTAAAAATCTGTCATTATTCTTCAGAATAACACTGAAAGGTATGAAAGTGTCCCGACCAGACTCCAAGATTGGAAAATACCGAATGATAAAGCATGAACGAGATAAGCACAACGAGCCCAACCCCCAGAGGTAGGTTTGACACGCAGATTTGTGCCCTTTGACATTAAGACTCAATAATTGGTGTAGCTGGTGCGATGGTATCAAGTATTCTGGTCTGCCAGTGCCTGTGGAGAGGGTGGAAGAAGGGAATGGTGGGGACAGTAGATAGTGCTAAAGCCTGCACCAGGATCAGAGCCTGACAGTGTTCTTCAGGTTATTTAGGGCTGGCACAGAATGGAGGCTTCCCTACAGGAGAAAGAGAAGCCAGAATGCGAAGAACACATCTTTTCTTAGACCACAAATCTATACACCTACACACTGGGCTGGAGTTTGGAATTAACAGCGGGGAAGGAGAGCAGTCTGCCAGACCTTTCAGATGGAGATTAGAGCATGCCGTAGTGTAGGTCTGTTGGAGGAGAAGAGAATAATTTAAATATGGGTTAGGTAGAAATGATCTGCATCAGATCTGAGTTAACGTAATACACTAAAGAAAACTCATCAAATTCCTTAAAAAGACATTTCTCTGTCTGCATTGTATAACTTATTGAAAATGTTTAGGAGGTTTCTTTTCCACTTGCAGTAATGGTGTATAGGGAATCTGTGCATAAGGAAACTGTAGTCCCAATTTTAAACCAGTGTGGATATTGACTGTGTTGGATTTAGCTATCAGAATGCAGAGATAGGGATGTAGTATCTGTATTAATGAGAGGGCTTGTGGCACAATGGAAAGGATACTTGCTTCTGAGCCAGACACTCCAGCTTCAAGTCCCACCCCATAACTTTATTGCCAAGAAAGATGGATTTGTAATGTGGCCAAACAGTTTGATTAGCAACCTGCAGGTTCTTCCAGCACACACTGAAGGCAGACAGCAAGTGCAAGGGAGATTCCTAGTCAGCCATGTTATTGAATGAAAATTGGAGCTTTCACTATCACCATCCAAAAGATCCAGATTACAAAACAGAATGTAAAATTGCATGTTTCAAATGCAAATCAGACTCCAAATGATTTGTAACACAAAACCAGTGCTATAAAAGAATTAAGGTGCATTTGACTCCTGTACATCACTGCAATGTCATTATTCAAGGGGATTGTAAAGTTTTGTAACAGTAGTCTTTTCTCACAATAGAGCGCAAATTCTTTGCAACATTATTGGGGAGGGGTATGTTGTAAAGCTCAAGGAAGTCAACAGTGGGTAGTGTTAGAAAATAAATAATTACCCTCAAGCATTTCACTGTGGTGTCATCTTTTTAATACACCTCAAGTGTTAGAGCTTGGGCCTCTGGTAAAACCTTTTTATATGGTCTCATTCTGCGACTATAGTCGCGCTTGTGATTCAAACTGCACTATCTGAAATTGATAAGACAAATGCATGCAGTACGTTGATGAATCTTTCCAATGTTCTAACATTAATTTTAGTCATTAAAGAGCAAAAGCTCTAAATGTTATTGGAACCAAAGGCATTTTGTTATCTCTAGAGAAAGTCAAAAAGACAAACTTATGTAAGGTGTTCCTTCAGCTGAGCAGAGGTCTCTAGGTAACCTGAGAGCTAATGAGATTAGAAGCCATTGCTTGAAGTTAGTACAAAGTAATGAGATGAGCAGAGCTGATGTTTTTCTTTCAAGTTTACATTGATGTATTCTGCTGTGCCAGTAATGTCACTATACTGTACATGGGAAATGATATACTGGGGGCATTGCAAGAACTTGACAATATTATATGGCAAATCTATACTGAATGTAATATCATGTCTCAGTCTGGCTTTTAGGGATATAATCAGGAAGCTAGTGATCGGCAGCATTGAGTAACTCAAAATAATGAGTTAATCTTGTATGAACATTCCATTCAGATAAGTACAATTTTTGAGTTTATAGAATTACAGTTCCTTTTAAGTTGATTGTGTCTAGTTAGTAGCACAACCATTGTCTGGGAAAAATGAAAGCATGTGTGTCTGTGTAACCTCACCAGTTCTCTGATGATTGCACAGTATTCGGTGCCATTTACCTCTCCTAAGATGATGAAGCACTCGATGCCTGTATACTGCAAAACCTGGATGCCATTCGGGCTTGGACTTATGAATAATATTTGCAATGCAAGTGTCAGACGATGACTGTCTCCCACGAGAGACCGGTGTGAGAATGAGAGCGTAGAGACTTGACTGACAGTGGTGGCGCGAGACATAAAACAGCAGGTCTAAGTAGTAGAGCACAGAGAGACCAGTAGGAGGACAACAGAGCAGACACAAGAGTGAGAGCACAGTATGACTGGTGGGAAATAAACAGCAGGCCCCTGAGGGAGCACAGTGAGACTTAGAAGAGCTTGAATAAAAAGGGAGGTTCAAGAGTGAGGGTCAGTGAGTCCAGCAGGAGGATAAAAAAGACAGAGTGAGAGGGCAGCAAGGCTGACAGGAGGATAAAAGAGCAGGCTGGAGACAATGAGATCAGCAAAAGGATATTAGGCCCCAGAATGATGGTTGGATAACCAGGGAGACTCCTGAGTGGAGGGAGGCCTGATAGCAATGGGAGGATGATGGGAGAGGGCCCAGAGTGAAGGGAGGATGATGGGGAGACAATTAAGAATAACTTAAAAAGCAAAAATACATGTGTTTTTTTTCCCAAATACAAAAAGTCAATGTCCAGTGAAGATTCAGGTGGGCACTGTGTAGAGAATTCTTTTTGAAGTTGTCAAAAGTACAGCAAGTTGGTGGTGTACAAGCTGGTTCACTTTCAGGCAAGTGCAAGATTTATTCCAGAAACTAGGGTTTTGAAGAGACTTAGAAAAGAAGCAGGTTTAGCCAAGTCTAGAGGCTGGCTCTGGTGCACCAGGTAGATTCTTTGCAGACTATAACGTTAACAGTACACAAGAGTTTTACCCAAACATGTGGTTTGGGTCTGGAATGCGCTGCCTAGAAGTGTGATGGAGGTGGGTTCAATACAAGCATTCAAGAGGACATTAAATGACTATTTAAACAGAAACAACATGTAAGAAAAACCAGGAGAATGTCACTAAGTTAGGATACTCGTTTGGAGAGCCAGTGCAAATATGACCAGCCAAATGGTGCACTTCTGTGGTTGAAGCAAGGTAGATTCAGCTATAATGAATAGTTTAAACAGAGCACCGATTACATTGCAAAAGAGGGAATACAAGGTCTGTCTTTTAGCATGAATGGGCACCTGAAATCTGTTCTTTGCAATTCCTACACGACATAGGAACTTTTGATGTGTCTTGATGACCGTATATCTAGGCAGTGTCTCCAAATTTCCCAGCCCAAGCTCAGGATTCTCAAGATTGGGAAACTTTAGGAGTCACTGCAGAGTAGCAGCGAGATCAGTGTGTGTCAAGCCACTGATATATTCGGTTCTCCTCGTTTTCTGTTTCACTGTCTTTTAAGTTTCGGACAGTGTTGACCCCACAGGCAGTAAGAGTCAAAGATTATTTCAAAATAGAAGTGGAGGTGGGAAGAAGCTCTTAAATAATCATTAAGGCCAGGTTCACTTTCCTATTTTTAACTATTTAACTATCTCAACATTGCCCTGCCTATTCTGGGGAGGCGGGTTGGATTAAGACTATACTAATGTTGTTAAATACACATTAAAACAATGAAGATTTGTGATTTGTTAGCTTTTAATGCAGCCTTTCTTAATTATAAGAAGAATCAGACTTGCACTACTTGTGTCTTTTAGTACTTTTTCAAGAATTTTCATCTCCCCGAGAGGAAACAATATGGAGAAGGTGGCCAAAGTGTATCTCCAGCTATGACTCAACAGCATCACCAACAGTTAGATCTTGGTAATGAGTCAGTGGTTCACATCAACTTGAATAAGGCTGGAGATTCTGTTAGCCTAAAGTAGTGACTGACTTCAGTTTTTCTTTTTTGGATTTGGAAGGCTAAAACAAAACACATTATTGCAATCACTGTTCTATCCTCTACATCTCTATTAGTTTATATCTTTCTTTGCTTGCAAGCTTCATCTCATTATTACACCGTTTATGCTGCTTCCTCGTTTAGATCAAATACTGAACAGAAAATGCAAGTGCAAGATTAGGAACAGTAATTGGAATAAGCAACAGTGTAGTGTTAGTGAGAGTGAGAGCTAAGTGAGTAGAGATGGAAATAGGCATAATCGAGTTTTTGGAAAGTTCATGAAAACACAACAGGAGCAGTGGATACGGTTATGCATTTTAGGTGTTTTGGAGGCCGCAGTGCAATGCAAATGTTGAGACTGTGTTTGCTTCTTGTTCATAAATTTAATAAGAGAGGGATAACAAACAACAATGATGAACTATCATCATTGTATGATGATAGGAACATGCTAGTGGAGCAGCTTCCCAAACGTTTCTATTTTACGCAGAGTCTTAACAATCAAATGCTCACTTTGACCATATTGTTCTCTATTTGCCTTTTCAAGGAGGGATGAAGCAGAATGAGAGATTAAAATAGAGAACTGAGGAATAACAGAAAAAGAGGGCAAAAATAGTTTGAAAAACTGAGGAACAAAGTGCTGGGGGTTTAGAAGAAGTGAAATGGTATATGGTTTAAACTGGTGGGCACACTGAAAGTCAAAAAGAGAGAGAAGTATGTACGTATCTTTAAAAAAAAAGCAGACAGTTAACCTCGGACAGTGGAACATCTTGGAACATCTGCCAAATAAATGTGCCAAATAAAAAACATGACAACTGTAACCCATTTGATGACTCAAACACTTTTTGGATTTCATCCCTGCTCCACGATCTGAGCACATACCACACACCCACACCAGAACTCTAGTGAAAGAAAACTGTATTGAGACATGATGTTCAATTAATGTCCTTTGTTTCATTGCTTTTAATGTAACATTGGCTCTGTTGAAAGATGACTAAATGTTCTCTGGTTATCCTAACTAACATTTCACCTTTGACCAATGCCACCAGTTGAACAGATAAACTGATCATTCCCTCCTTGATGTTGCTGGGATCTTGTGTGCAGAATGGATGTTATGTGTTTCCACTTCTTCTGTTCTTTTGTCAAGGCCAATGATAATTTATCTTCTAT